TTTGTTATTTAAGTTGATTTTATGTTTTTATTTAAGAATTGGTGGTTGCAAACACTGATTCAAGCTTTGTGGGTTTGACTCTTCTTGAGAAAGAGAGTTTATGACCCCAAAATTGACCCAACAAGGAATTGGGATGGACTCATGAGAAATGATAGTCCCAATTAACGGGTTAAATCTCGAGAGAGTAATCACCCTACTTGAACCTAGTTGCTGGATCTAATTGGCCTACCCAATTGTTCTTGAGAGAGTCAATTGGGCAAAATCACTCTCTCTACAGAGAGGTGTGAGAGTGGGTACAATTGTGCAACAGTTATAGCATAAGCCCCAAATATGTCAATCTGTCCTTAGTAACATCTACCCGTCAATTAGCCACCTAGGTAGTGCCACGACCCTAGTGCCTTCCTTCCCATTAGATACAACTTTGCAATATTCTAGTAGCATAAATTAGCATTTATCATTAGTTTTATCATAGTAGTTATAAAATCAAAAACCAAGAATGTTTGAAGCGATATTAGGAGCACAAACACATCTCTAGACTAGACAAAAAATCCAACTCCACTACTAGCTCCCTGTGGAAATCGATCCCGACCACTATTCGGGTAAAACTATTGCGACTCGCTCTTCCTACCTCGGTGTAGTGTCGAGTTGGCAGCAATCAGTGATTCCCAACCTGATTGCACCTATGGCTCTTTGCCTCCTTGGTTGAATCCTTGAATCATCACACGACTTTCCAAGGGTTCGTTCATGGGAATGCCGAGTTATTTCACAGTGCGAACTGGCAAGATTTTCACTGAGGATCCTCCGTCAACCAAAATTTGATTTTCTCTTTCATCGCGCATATATCCAACCAGGTATAATGGGCGGTTGTGAAGAGTGTCACCCAGTAGAAGATCGTCATTCATGAACGTAACTTTTTTTCCCACAAGCATTAACTTCTTGAAGAGTGTACTCGATGAGCTTTTTCGAAGATGGTGCCAACGGTAGGTCATCACTCTTTTCTTCCCCCTTGTCAGAATGGCAACAAGAGGCATCAATACCCTTATGGGAAATCTTCGTAAGGAACCAACTTGGTAAAAACCCCTCCAAGTTCACTGGATGTCGTGGCTTTTGAGGGTGGTGCACCTCCATTTTTGCTTTCTTTAAATGCTTAACTGGATTCCATCTCCTTGGTCTTTTCACCATTATTTTCCTTGTTGGTTGTTCCATTGATCCTTTTCGTGGGCTCCTTTTGTGGCGCCTACGACGAGTCACCAACGTCCAACCTTCATCATCATCCGGTTGATCGTCTTCAACTTTGTTGTTCTTCAGTAATTCTTCATCTTTAATTTCTTTAACACTACATAATTCATCTGGATTGAATGAGCCAAATGTGGTAGAGACTTGGTTTGCGCTTGCTTTCTCGTCTTCAAGCACGATCTTCTTTTCACGAGCCAAGTCCATAACTTTCTCCTTGAAGACAAAGCACTTCTCCAGAGGGTGGCTCACGAGTCGATGATATTTATAGTAATTTGGTTCATCAGTTTTCCCAGCTTCATTTGGCTGCTTCATCTCCGGGAGCTCAATGAGATTTAACTCGAGGAGTTCTTCGAAAATGGCTGGCACATCAAAATCTAGAAATAGGTACTCTTTCTCTTGCATTTCCTTTAGAGTCAACTTTCCACTTGGCTTATCTTGAAAATAAATGGATTTCATACTCTGCTTCTTGCTTACCTTCCTCGTGAACTTCACAAGTGATGTGTTGACATTCATATCTTCTTTGCTTTCAGACTTGAGTACAAACTTGCCCCACTTCCTGACTTCTTGCTTGTCGTTACCTTTGCGAGGTTCATAGATGGGAAGTATTTTATTTCCAGCGGAGGCCATGCTCAATTCCATGTCATGGGCACGAGTTGCAAGTTCTTCAAATGTGTTAGGCTTGATACCTTGCAAGATGTAGCGCAATCCCCAATGCATGCCTTGGATGCGCATCTCTATGCCAGAAGCTTCACTAAGCCTATCTTTACAGTTGAAGCTTGCATTCATCCAACGATTGATAAAGTCGATAACTGGTTCACCCTTCTGTTGACGAGTATTTGTGAGTTCCACCATGCTTACAGTGCGCCTTGTGCTATAAAAGCGATTGAGGAACTCTTGCTCTAGTTGATCCCAGTTATCAATAGATCTCGCCTCGAGGTCTGTATACCAATCAAAATCATTTCCTTTTAGCGAGCGGACAAACTGTTTGACGAGGTAATATCCATAAGTCGCAACGTTATTTCATGTCTCAACGAAGTGCGTCACATGTTGCTTTGGATTGCCTTTACCATCAAACTGTTGAAACTTTGGAGGTTGATAACCAACAGGTATCTTCAACATATCGATCCTTGCATTGTACGGCTTTGCGTATGTAAGGGAGGACTTGGCAGTAACTTCATATTTATTCTTAATAGTTCCTTCAATGAACTCCTTCAGTTGATCGATGGGAATCATCCTTTCAGATGAGATAGGGATAGCCTTAGCGGATGCTACCCGTCTTGGGGGGGAATCAATCCAGGTGCATGGGTGGATTCTTCTTCCATCAAGATTCCCACCCTGTCTGTTAGCTTGTCAATTCTAGCATCTTGATTTTGCATGCACTTGGTCAAGCCAGCGATTGCTTTCGTCAAGTTTGCCAACTGCTCTTCCACAGATGAAGTGATTGTCACCATGGCTTGCATGATTGTTGTAGATGATGGGGAGTGGCATGGATTGTCACACATATTGATTCTCGAATTGCTCACGCTATGCGGTGTAAGTGGGGAGGATCCATCACTTGAAGCATTATCATCTTCCTTCACAACAGAGTTCTTGGATCCCGAGAGGTCAAGCAGTGCAAGAGTTTTCTTGATCTTTTCAACAACATCGCTTCCTCCTTCGGAAACGTTTGTGGAATATCTTGCTCCTTTTGAGGATGAAGATCCGAAATTAGTGATTGATGCGGACGACACTTAGAGTGCTTGTTGTCCTAAAGAGCTTGCTTTGATCCTCGTAACGGGTTCGAAGCTTCCAGAGGTAACATCGAGGATGCTTTCCACATCAGCATAGAACCTGGAGTTAGCAGCCTTGGTGGATGTTGATCTGGAGTTGATTTTCTTTGACGCCATTTCGACATTCTTGGACTTTGGTGATTGAAAAGTTGAGATGAGAGGTAGAAATTGTCCCGCTGGGCGTGCCAGATTGTTTGCAACAAATTTATACAGAGAAAAATAAAACTGCAATCACAAACAACTATAAAGAAAAAAGAATTTTATTGATAAACATTGTAGGTTACAACTCTGTTTATCCCTTGATTCTTCCCTCAAGACATATTTGATATGTCTTTGATCTCTTAATGAATATTCCAAGAGTTTCATGTAATTTCGGAGATCTCATATTTGATCTCTTTGTGCATTTCCGAGAGTTTATGGAATTGCTGAGATCCTCTTTGAAGGACATATGTAGCCTTATTTATAGGCATGAATTAGGTTTTAGGTGGAGTAGCCCCAAGTAACCCTTATAAACTACTAATATTTCAAAAGTTGTCTTGAATTTAAAATTTATTTTGATCGGTAAAAATTCCAGTAGCTGCGAGTATTGCCAAGAATATTAAAATCCGTGACGTCCACCACCATTAAAATAAAACAAGTGTAAGAAGAGAGGAAACATTCCCCAAGTCGCCGTAAAATATGGAGTTTGCAATAGCACTAAGTAACAAAGAAACAAAATAATAAAAGCCAATAGGCTCCCCCTCCTATATATTGTCGCTTTGAATTGCTGAATGGAAAATGACAGTACCCAAAGTCGGCGCCAGACCCACAAGCCCGACACATCTACGACTTGAGATGTTTGCGATAAGTGCGATGTATTATGTTACATCAAATGGATGGTGTAGTTATTTAAGTGTTAGTAGAAAGAATAATTTACTCCGATGCAAGTTAAGTGTTTCTCTACTTGCAATAAGGAGTCATGTGAATTTGCATTTAGAGTCCGTTTGAAAAGCCACCTAGGAGTTGGATTTAGGTGTAATTATACAGTTTAATATGTTAATTACTTGGTCAGTATGAAATTGGGTGTAATCGGAGAGATGTAATTACACTTTCCAGTTCTCAATGGGAGGTGAATTGGTGGTAATTACACTGTGTAATTATAAAATTACTTTTTAATTTATTTCCTTTTTGTTTTTATTTAATTTATTTTCTTTATAGCTTTTTATTTTCATTATCTTAATTTTTTTTTAATTTTTTTTATTTCTTTTTTAATTTTTAATATATTTTTCTTTGTACATTATTTATCTTTTATTTTTCTACCTTTACTTCTTGTGATTCCATAATTGCGCGTATATTTTATTTTTTATTTTCTTCATTTAACTGTGTTATTATTCTGGTTTTTGAAACTACACCTCCTAATTATGTTCAATCTTGTCATTATTACAGCACAATTAATATTAGAGCCTGCTTCGTGTACGCCATAGCATTAGCATTCATACAGTGAAAACAAGAGGTTCATTTTAAAATTTGAATGGCCTGATGAAGATCTTAAAGCTAGTGTTATTCCTTCACTCAAACAACATGTCCACAAATTTAATTTCGGTCTTAGGATCTCCAGTCAGCAGTATTCAATCTTATGTATATTTGCCTTCTTGTAAATAATATATATCCGGCATTGGAAAACGACGCAAATATTATTCATTTCAACAAGACGTACATTCTTCGTTCGTAAATAGTCGGGCATTCTTTTTTCCATTTTTTGTCATAACAAATATTTTTTATAGCTAAAATTCAATTATTGTTGTAGGGAACTTTTAGATATAGGTTCACCTTATAATAGTATAGATATGACCTCACCAATAATAGTACGTATAACCTTTAATTTTAACTTGGATGTTGGACTTACTCGGCCATGTGATGTTGATATATTCAGATCTCAATCATACTGGCTCTTTTCAAACAAATCAATTTAAGTAATTCTCCATCAATTCTCTTTGCAAATAAATCATGTATGACTAAACCGAATGAGCAATTGTAAACTGTTTATTTCAAAATTAAGAATCAAAGACCTACAAATACATCCTTTATCTTTTCAAACTCTAGCTTTAGAGGGGAAAAAAAAATTATATAACTGTAAACACCTAGTAAATGCTGATCTATTTTGGGAACAAAAATCTGAACTGGGCTGCAAAACCACCAGTTCTCTCTCTCCTATTTGACAGCACAAGAAACAAGCTCGCTGCAATTGTATACCATTGTTCTTCACTGTTCTTTGCATATCTTCAAGCACAGATAATGAATAAATTCTTAGTATCCAAGCTAGCCCCGGTAGTAACAACATCGCAGCTTACTCTTTTTCACCTCTGTTTTCTCCAAACAAATGGAGGTGGATAATAGGAAAAAATGAGCCAGAACCCTTTCCTCCAGGCTGAAGGATAGAAGTTTACTTGCTCTGTTCATAGCTTAACAATTTCTTCAATTTCATTCTGTTCTCCTATTCCACTGGCTTCTGTGTTTCCAAGGGTATCATGCACATCTTTATTTCCAGTAACTACTGTCTTTAATGAGCTAAGGAAAGCCTCTTGTTCTCTAGTGTCTTGTTGGTCACCGAGCCATTTGCTTATGCTTGATACCAGATGGGGTTTTGGTCTCCATCCTGGATTTTGTGCTCGTACTGCTATTGCTTCTTTCAGGCATTCAAAGGCCTTTTCCATCTTATGCGTATTCGAGTACCCTGCAGCGATGATAGCCCAACTATTCGGGATTGGTGTCTTGCCTTTCTTGATAATGTCTTGCAGCATTATTTCGGCTGTATCAACTAAGCCATTCTGGCAATATCCAATTAGAAGGACATTTGGCACTCTAAAATCGTAAGTGTGGTTAGAAGACTCCCACTCCTTTAGCACGGCCTCAGCTGTCTCTAGATCACCAAGCTTAACCAAGGAACCTAGCATTGTGATGTAGTCCCTGTTAATTTGCTTTTTACACACAATCTTTTGTACACCCCACAATCTCAACATCTCTTCCTTATTGCCTAGACTCGCATAGTGGGAAATCAAATGATTGTAACCTATTGGATCTTTATGTAGCTTATCTTCTAACTTTTTCAAGAAAGCAAGAGCCTTCTCCTTGAACTTGGCTTTTATATAAACATTAGCCATCATGGAATAGGTGATCCAGTCCACTGATATGAAAGGCTGGCTTTCCATTTCTTCAAGAAGCTTCTCCATACCACTAAAATCAGCTCTTTCTCCACAGCAATTGATGCAGATCCGATAGCTGAAGTTATTAGGGGTGACACCATTCTCCTTCATCTCCGACAGCACATCAGAGACTCGCTCGAGTTGGCCTGTACTTCTGTAAAGGCACATAAGATTGTTGTAAACAAGAGTGCAGTAAGCATAACCAAGTTCCTTCATTTTCTGAAAATGGGCTAGGGATTTCTCAACTAGGCCTTCTCTAATATAACAGTTGAAGAGTGCACCATAAGTCTTATCATTCTTCTGTTCATCTGTGAGGTTATTAAAGTAGCACTCTGCTGCTTCCCAACCATGGACAACACCGATAAGATCCAAATGCACAGCACAATCTCCTGACTTGAAAGGGCAGAGACCACTCACACTCATCCACTCGGAAACCTACATGGCAACAAGTATCCACCACCAGCTTTAGAAACAAGGGCAAGTCGGATGTAGTAGTACAATAGGTAAAATAGTATCATGACACATTGTCACATTTTGAGCCAAAAAAGAAAGAAAACTTTCAGACATTTAATGTTGGAACACGTTGCCATTTTTAGATGAGTATGGAACAAGTTGCCATCCTCCAATTCAACATTCATAAGCATTTTTATTAAGGTTGTCTATAAAACAGGATTTTAAGTTCTACGTGCTAGGTGTAAACAATATTTAAACAATAAGATCATTTATAAAGTAACTACTGCTAAATTCCCTATGACAAAATTAATCAATAACCTCGTAAAAATGGTAAGTAACCTACTATAACATGTTAAAATTCACCGATAGTGTAAAAACCCTTTACACTGTCAGTGTACATAGCTTAAATCCCAACTAAAACAAAAGAATACAAGCTCAATTTCAATACCCTGCTCCTTGATCTCGCTTCCCTCGTCCCAAAAAGAATATTAATCAATCAATCAACTAAACCTCCATCTCAAATTAGTTGGGCAGGCTATATTAATTCATCCATATCTATTCCACTCTATCTCTTTATTTTTAGAATGAATATCCAGTTCACTCTATTCAGCAATTTCATTCTAATACTAAATAGAAAAACTGCACGAATTCTTAAAAGACTAAAAGAAAGGATAGACAGGAAACGGAACCTGTAGGGCTTGAGAAAAACGTTTACGGCTACGGAGATCACGAACAATGCGCTGAAGCTCGAGGCTTGTGACTTTTCTGCCCTCGACCACCCATTGATCCAGAACTGGAATAATGAGATCCGCGCGCCTAACAGGGCTAATTCTGGAAAACAAATTATTACGCTTTGAGGAATAGACAGTGCAATATGCGCGGATTGGGAAAGCCCTACGCAGAAGATTGTAAGAAATTGATCGATTCAAGGTTGCGTAGTTCATTGAGTTTATTGGCTTGGGGGCCTGTGGTGCTACTGAACACTGGTTTAAGCTCCCCAACATTGAAAACAGAAAAAAGTACCTGAACAAAGAAGAGAGTCGAGCCCCGTTTCAGGATTTAGGGTTTTAGACAAATGAAAGCTCGAGGTAATAAATTAATTGCAATTTGACACTGATGATAAATGATTAAGGAATATATTACCCTCCTTTGGTTTTTTAAAGAAAAATAAATTAATACTCGGTAAATTAATAAATTCTCTAAGATAATATTTTTCTTCAGTGAAAAAAATCACATATTTCGATAAGATAATAAGATACTCCCTCTGTTCCAATTTATGTGAACCTGTTTGACTGGGCACAGAGTTTAAGAAAAAATAAAGACTTTTGGAATGTGTGGTCCTAAACAAGTCAAAAAGGGGTCCAGAGTATTTGTGTGGTTATAAAAGCTTCTCGTTAAGGGTAGAATTGTAAGTTTAACCTAAATTGTTTCCAAATTTAGAAAGGGGTCATTCTTTTTGGAACAGACCAAAAAGGAAATAGGTTCACATAAACTGGAACGGAGGGAGTAATATATTTTCGGAAGACCCCCTATATAAATATATGGTCCCATTAATATTACAAATTAATAATTTTTTAAAATTACAAAAATGTCCAAGACAATTTAGTGAAATATACTCTAGTATTTTTTGCTTTTTTTTTAAAATTTAAATCTAGTTGAAGATCATCTCTAACTTTTCTTATTGCATCCAAAAGTTCTGGTGTTGTCTTCTCGAACTATACCAGAAAATTGTGAAGAGTTCTAGACACAATAAGTGCTTCCTTACGCAAAACTGGTTCCAAATGTATATTGTCTTCAACTTCATCATCAACATTATTTTATTCGATGGTATCCATAATTTCTTCTAAGCTCTGGACCTCTGAACATGCATCATTTTCACCCGGGTAATCCAACAGGCTATTGACATCCATTTTATTACAGTAATCAGGATAATTAATCATGACCTCAAGTTCATGAATGTCGTTTTCACAAGTGGGTTCGTTTAAATTCCTTGAGGCTTTATCCCCCGAATGAATTTTGCAGTGTCAAAAATAATTTGCTATTGTCTCTTGCTGAACATTTGTCGTCCAAGCCGCGACCGCAAGATTGATATCATCTAAAAGATTAATTTTTCCTGGATCAGTTTTTCCTAGCTCATAGCCTTCTAATATCTTACGGTAAAATCTACTGCGAGAATGCATCTTGAAAGCTCTTATAAACCCAGCATCACAAGGTTAAATTTTTTATGTCATGTTGGGTGGCAAGAAAAGCAATTCAAAATTTTGTAGTCCTTCAATATTTCTTGTATGTGCTGGACAATTATCTACCACAAGCAAAATTCGTCTACCATGCATTTTGTGGTCAAACCAACGAATATAATCATCAAAAAGCAAACTTGTCATTCATGCTCTTTTGCTTGCACGATAGTGATAATTCAAGTTGTTCATGTTGGCATTCTTGAAGCAACGTGGCTTTGCATATTTTTCATAAAACCATAAAGGAATTTTTTCAGATCCATCCTCATTGCAACAAATAACAACCGTGAGCATTTCTTTGTCGTGCTTTCTTCCTTCAAGTTGTTTCGTAGCAAGAGAATGATCAACTTGTAACTTGTAAAAATAAAACAGTTTCATCCATATTAAAAACATCTTTCATAAAAATAATAAGGCCCAAGTAGACTTTCTCTCTCTAGACTTTCTCTCTCGGTGCACGATTGTGTGCATGCTATTCTGCGCTGATCGAAAATGGGGAGAGGATGACCAAAGAAGATGGTAACAAAGGTTCAGCTAGCTGAATTCATAGCATCAGGAAGTAAAAGTGGAAATCTGGGGAGGAATTGTGAAATTGATTCACAAGTAGTAGCCCTAAGTTGCGACAAAGGAACACCAGTGATTTCGACAAATTCGGTAGGATCGAGCAACATGTAGATGAAATTAACACAGGATCTAGGAATTTTGAGTCCTAACATGAGGAATTCTACACCTCAGTCAGCTGCTGAGAAGACAGGTATGGGAAATCTAGAAGTAAACATTGTTCCATTGGTTGATGTTTCATCAATAGAAGCAGCGTGTAATCAGAAGGAGAAGAGTATCATAGAGGAAAATATAACAAATTCAAAGAGCAAAAACATTACGAGCAGAACAAAGCATTCGAAGGAGCAACAAACACAGAATCAGACTATAACAAAGGCAATAGATCAAGAGGCGGCAAAAATAGAGATTGGGAAAAATGAGAAAAAATGGACAAATCTATTCACTGGTAATAAAATGGCTACAAGAGGAATGGATCTAGTTTTCATACCACCTACCATTCATGATGGAGTTAAAAAGGTACAATTACAACAGGAGGAGATGGAAGTGGAAAATGCGAAATAGCAAAAGGCTATAATCGTGTATGTTATTGGCGAGTCACCTTCAATAGGAGCTATGGAGAGATTCATAGCTACGCAATGGAACTTTGTATCAAGACCCAAAATCTAACCGTGGTCGTGATGGCGCCTTTCGTGTTACAAGGAGGGCCTATTCCCAAAATATTACTACTAATTTGATTATAAGAATTTAATAAAATATTTCTAATAATTTAATTCCTGATAAACTAAACCAGCTCTAAATATAAATAATATAAAATACGAAAAACGAGTCCCAAACATCGGGGTGTCACTAAGTCATAAGTGTCTAAAACTATGAACTGAGATATATAAACTGTCTAACTGTCCAAAGAAGAAATGATAAAAGGAGTAACAAGGTTCTGCGAAATTAGCAGCTACCTTGCAATCTCCACAGATAGCCGGCCTGAACTAAACGATCGCCACGCTCTAACTCACCTGGATCTGCACATAAAGTGCAGGGTGTAGTATGAGTACAACCACCTCAGTAGTAACAGAAATAACTAAGGAACTGAACAGTAGTGACGAGCTGAGCAAAACAATCCAATTATTTATTTTTCACAATTTTAAAAATAACAGGAATAAACAGGTAAATTCCATAACTCAGTAAATGCCACAAAGAAATTTAACAGATAAATGCAGCAACAGAAAAAGTAAATGCAACCTCACAACAATGTCACTCCATCACTCAGCACTCGCACTCAGCACTCAACACTCAACACTCAACACTCAATACACTCAACACTCTGCGCTCACTAGGGGTGTGTACAGACTCCGGAGGGGCTCCCAAAGCCCAAGCGCTAAGCACGGACAACTCACGTGCTACCATATCAATACCTGGATCCGCACGGTCAACTCACGTGCTACGCGGACAACTCACGCGCTGTGGTATCAATACCTGGACCCGCACGGTCAACTCACGTGGCAAGCGGACAACTCACGCGCTATGGTATTAATATCCTCACAACCAGGCCATCGGCCTCACTCAATCATGTACCTCACTAGCCTCACCATCATCAACAAATAAGGGGACACAGCCCACATCAAGTATCACAGTATATTATCAAATAATAGAGGCGGAGGTAAACATGTACAATAATTTCTATGACTTAGTACAAATAATGGGAGCATGAATAAAACCTAAACAGGATCTCTAACATGAAGGCAAACAAGTTCAACAACAAGTAAACACATAACCACAAATAATAGCTTTTAGGCCTGGCCTCACGGGACGGACCAAGTCTCAATCCCTCGCGGTGCACACCCACACGCCAGTCACCTAGCGTGGGTATCACCACAAAACAATCACATGATATCAATTTCTCCGGGTTTATATCCTCAAAGCCAGAGTTAAAACTGTTACTTACCTCAACAGCGTAAAATTCTACTCTGGGATGTCCTCGTCCCCGGACTCGGTCTCCAAAAGCTCCGAGTCTAACCAAAATCAGAATAATACTATCAACATAATCTAAAGAATCGAATTCCACAATAAAAACTACATAAACATGCCAAAAATCCGAAATCGACCAAAACCCGGCCCCCGGTCCCACGTCTCGAAACCAGTCAAAAATGGCAAAATAATAATTCTCATCCTCTCCCGAGTCTAACCATATAAAATTTGTCAAAATCGGACTCCGTTTGGTCCCTCAAATCCTCACTTAAAACTCTCCAAAGCTCAAACCCTAACTCCCTCATTTTCACTTTGAAATCATCAATCAAATCCCAAAAACGAAGATGGATTCATAAATTATAATCAAAATCGAGTAGAGAACACTTACTCCAATTCATATGGTGAAAATCGCCCAAATCCGAGCTCCCCAACTCAAAATATGACCGAATGAACAAACCCTAGTTTTGTATATTTTTCTACCAGTTATTCTGCCTCGTTTCTCGTGCCAAACGATCCCGAAACCCATATTTTATGCCTCCAATGGATTCCTTGTGAAATTCTAGTCAAACTTGGCTTTTGAAGCGCTCAATTTGACCTTATAACGAAGGAGATATGTAGGTTTTAATATTTGCAAATAGTGCAGATTTTTAAATACGCCGTCAGTGGCAATTTCGTAATTAATCTAAAAAAAATCTGGCAACCTAATTCTTAGTAAAATGACCATAAAATCCTCATACGATGTCCAAATTTGACGATTCTTTTTTCTACGGGTCCGTAATTACGATACGGATCTAATGCTTCAATCAAAAAAGAAATTGTAACTCATTTGTTCAATATGATATCATTTATGCTTAAAGAAACGGCGTCGAAACATAAGAAAAACGAGCGCAACACAACCCAAACCTATCCGAAACTCACCCGAGACCCTCGCAACCTCAACCAATAATTCCAACAAGTCATATATCACTACCCGAACTTAGTCGAACCTCCGGAACACCCAAAACAACACCAAAACACCAAATAAACCTCGAATTCAAGCCTAAGAACTTCTAAACTTTAAACTTTCGCCAATTCAAGCCTAGTTCTACCACAAACCTCCAAATTATATTCCGGACACACTCCTAAGTCTAAAATCACCCGACAAAGCTAATCGAATCATAAAAATCCAAATCCAAATTCTTTTACTCATAAGTCAACTTCCGGTTGACTTTTCTAACTTAGCTTTCTAACTAAGAGACTAAGTGTTCATTTCACTCCAAAACTACTTCGAACCCAAACCTACCAACTCGATGCAACTCAACACAGCTGAACAACATATAAATAAGCAT